CCAAGTTGGTTATCGTATGTACCAGAAGAACGTGAGATTAAAATGAAATTAGCTCATGAACTTTGGGAGGATATACTAGACGATGCTTTGAATTCTGTTCTAGCCTCAAATGCTTGCCATTTGTCAAAGTAATTTGTACAAGTTCATTCTGTAATTTGATTTTTCCTAATATCTAGAATACCAATCTGAAACTACTGTGATATATTTTTTTAGTGATTGAATGCTTTTATACAAAAATGTAACCATCAAATGTGTAAAAAAGAGGAAATATTGTTTGTATCTCAGATCTCACCTTATGTTGTTCCCACTTCCTCTCAACCATATCAATTATCCGTAAACCGAATAGAATAGCGACAATCATATACGAATAATTTATATTCTATTAGCTTTTGTATATATATATATATATATATATATATATATATTCTTCCGCATGTTTTTCTCTCTTTTCCTACCCACTACCAATATGTTTAATTTCATTGTTACAATATGAAAAATACAAATGAAATGCTTATTGTATATTATTTGATTTAACATGCATACTCCTATCGCTGTTATATTTATCTAATATGCCTAAATAACGTAGTGCATTTGATTTGTTCTGCATCTAACATCGTTCTCCCTGTCCTCCCGCTATTTCTACTGTATGAGATTAATGTTGACTAGATTTTTCTTTCATATTTTTTTCGATTTTTTTTCTTCGAATAAAAATGTTACAATCATGTGTACTTTGTAATAGTTGCATGTCAATGCCTATTTGTGTTTACCTGTTTCTCTCATCCCTTGTTTGTTCATTTGTTTTTTTCCCTGTATTCCTTAAAAGCCTATTAAATCAAACGATTCATGTTTTCTATTTATTCAATTTGTTTATAAATCAATGTACTATTCTCTCTAATATTGCAAATAATTTTCTTTATCGTAAGATACAATAATGTATAATAGCGATAATTCACTATCATATAATTAACATAAAAATATTTATTCTTTTCTAATGAATGATTACTGAAATCACACCCTACTTAAATCACTTAATTCAGTAAGCATGTACACTTATGCAAATATAAGGTATTATAGATACAATAAATGTTAAGTAAGAATTACAATTGAGTAGATAATAGAGTACATTTATTTTTGTTGTTGTTGATGCTTATCAGATTTTTATCCTGTTTAATTGTTGTAAATGACCCTTGAAATCTCCACAATGTGTAAAACGTGTTCTCTTATTTATTTAACCCAAATTTTCTGATTCGAAAATCTTGAATTTTCATTTCGTAAGAATATTATCATTCACGTACAAAATTCAGATCTTAAAGCTCTTATATAAGTCGCTCATTTGTTTATCTTCGCATCCCTTGTGTTACGTCCTGGTGTGTTGTCTCTGTTATGTACATATCGACCTTATTGGGTCCACAGTCTTGCTGCTCATACTTGACAATTCAATACCACTGCAGTTTCAAGACGCAAATTAAGGACACGAATAACTGGTTCAGTGAAGATTTATTGGTTTTCCAAATACACATTTAATAATATTACATAAAGGAAAAATATGTCGAGTTACTGTGCAAACACATTGAATATAGTTCACACTTGTCATCCTGAACACAGTTTATACTGAATTGATACAAGAAAATATTGACCTTTAAATGTCACTGTGAATGAGGTTCACACCTATAACCGTGTCCGTATCATCTTTTTATCCCGTCATATCAGAGAATTAGTGCACAAACTGATGTTTTTGGTGGCTATAACCTTTCACTTTTAATGCTTAGAAACTGAATGCTTTGACCAATAGGCCGCTACTTGAACTGAATTAATGTTGCACAAGAGAATATAAGGTCAGGTCTGTTATTTACTTATTAGCCCAATCAGAACTAAACGATAGTCATGTAAATCCTTATATTAAAAAATCTTCGAATATTCACTACTTTCTATTGGTATCATCGTCAACTAAAGGTCCCCCGACCGTTGTTGCTACCTTGACGTGGTGGTCGGGCTTGCCTATCGTGATGAAGCAACCGAGCTATACTGGCTGGAACAACCGTTCCTCAAGGTCCTACCATGTCAGACAGGTCGGTTGAAGAGCGGTAAGACTAAAAGCAACAAACCCAAGGTCCGAAGGCGAAGTCGTACTGCTGACTGTACAGAGGTGTGAGAGCAGTAAGGTGTTTCCTTCAGACAACCAACATGACAGCGATGCTGCCTTCCCACAAGGAGGGGTGGGGTTAGAAAAGGTCGACCATAAAAATGCACACCTCACGGATTTCCGTCTCCGGCGGTAAGGCCCTTTGAAGAACGGAGCTAACACGTCAAAAACCTCCCACGAAAAGGCCGTGCGCGACCGGCCTCAAGCAGTTGTCCCTTGGGCACTGCGGTCACGCTCTCAGGTCACTGAGACCACCTCTAATCCGATTTCCTTTTCAGGTACCTCCAGTAGAACCCTTCCTCGGTGTGGACAACCGGGAAGTGATAACCGCCCTCATACCTCTAACAGCACTCGAGACCAACTAAAGGTCCTCATACTTTATATTTGTTATGTTTACTTGCACGGTCAGGTGTACGCTCCATGTTGCTAACAATTTTCTGATATCATGAGATGTATCTTGACCTAGTGTACACATTTTCTCAAGACTTCAACTTTGCCGAAAAAATTCGGCTGTTCAGATTTAGTAATCATATAGTTTCTTTCTGATTACTTTCAAACGGTCATTAAAAAATTGTGGTCAAATTATTATACCGAACCAACAATATTTTAAAGGAAAGCATATTAAAATCGAAGCATCAGTTAAGCAGGGTTTCTTTTTGAAGTGATTAAGTAAATACAGATTTTGGTGGTTTCATTGTGAGTTGTTCTAACTTAAGTAGACACTTTACTGACATTTGACGATTGGCTGCTACTTTTCAATTTTGTTGTAAGATCCTGAGTTGACGTAGGATGATGGCCATCAGTGATTTGAAATTATGTTTATGATAGATTTGCCTTGGTATTCAGATTTTAGATGGAGAACTAAGAGTTTTGTCCCAAGTCGTTCAGTAATTAGTTGCGGTCTATAAAACTAGTTTTCTCGCGTTTTGTAGAATAACTAAATGAGCATTATTAAGGTTATGCATCCAGTAATTGGGGAACTTGTTAAATCAACTGATGAGGCATTGAGTCTCCATCTACTGAAGTGGTTAGAATATGTGTTGCCTATGCCTAGTTACCGCCTACCTCAATCAGCGATCTTTGATTGTCTATCACTACATTTGAGGTAACTTAGGGTCAATGAAACTAAACATAGGAACAATCCGCAATGTTAGTGTTGGTGTACGTTACTTGATTGAGGTTCGCCTGATAACCGCGCTCAGAGATTGGAGACTTGGTGACATGGCTCAGAATCGTCCGGAGTGACGCAGATCCATACACTTTCAATCTTCACCCATGTCTTGAATCCCAGTATCCCTTCATGCATACCTTTCTACCCTGTCTTTTTAAATCGTATTCCCATGGTTAGGTCTTTATTTTATCGTTGCTACTAGATTACTTCGATCTTTTTCATTGTTTTCATCTCTTGCTAAACTGGAATTTCAATGTGGATCAACACACATTATCAAACTTCATACTGATATATGTTTATTGTAAAATTAGTTAGTAAAGGTCACAGACATTGTTATCCGCTGGGAGAGTATGGTACAATCATACTGATGATTGCAAATATAGATTATGTGATTTTATTATTCCTCACATATATGTGTGTAATAGATATGGGGATTGAAAGTTTTGAGAATTTTAATCTTGTTTTAGATTGAGATGGTACGTTATCACGATTACACAACATCAGCCTCGGAATTATAAGAACAAACGATGACTAACGTCCCAACTGTTTTTTTATATCTGGCCTGAATTTCATCTTGTTTTTTTGAAAAACAGACTGATTATAATAACGACTAAATGAGTTCCAGTAATCCTGAAGGTGAATATAAGTCAAACACTAAGGAAGTATCATTAAGACATTGATGATCACATTAACTAGTTTCTCTTTATCAGAATAATTCGTTGAATATTTTTTTGATCTGCTTTTCATACAAATAGTTCCTTATTTTTACCGTTTTTTCTTTTTCAAAACTTGTTATGATGTTGAGAGAAATAGTTTCGAAAGTTTAATTTTCAGAGATATGTTCTATGAGACTATATTTTGACTTCCTTCACATCCTAAGCGGCTTCTGAGTTTTGAAAAAGATCATTAGATTTTTTTAACTTACCATTGGGTTCTCTTAAACGTATAATATTTCGAAGATGTCATTTTTCAAAATCCTTGATGTTATTTTAAGAGTTTGTTGGATTTTATGAAGTTACAATAGAATTGTAATGGCTAAAATTGATACAAACTTTTTGAATTATATTAACATACTATTCACGACTATCAGGATACTTAAAATATATAGATTTTATAGCATCTTATATTTTATCCAAATAAAAAGAATAGTGATCTGATTATTATAATACGTAAGTTACACATAAAATTTCTCTATTTAACATTGAAATGATCAAGAATGGTTCAAAGGAACATTTACATAATATTATCAGAATGGGTTTTGTGGAGATTTTTAGAAATTTCACAGGTTGAAATCATGAGTCAATTGAAGCTAGGCCACCATGGAAAACCTGGAATCACTGGACGGCCGTTTCGTCCTAGTATGGGACTCCTCAGCGGTGAGCATCCACGGTCCCGCACCCCGCGGGATTCGAACTCAGGACCTAATGGTTTCGCGCGCGAGCACTTAACCACTAGATCAGGTTTTCCATGGTGGTCTAGCTTCAATTAACTCGTGATTTCAACCTGTGAAATTGACATAATATACCATTCATAGTTTCATGTAACGTATGACCACAATGATATATTATTGCAAACACAATACATGATAAATCAGAAGACATTATAATCTATGTTAGGAAATATCTTCACCCTGACTTCTAGAAATATGTATATAGTTTCATATAAAATTCTAGTGGTCCATACCTGATATATATATATATATATCACTTGTTCCATATAAGTAATATCTAACAAAATACTAAAACTTTGTCTGCATTTATTGTTATTTTATATTGTTAATGTAATCACTAATATCCCCCAAAAAATTGTGAATACAAAAATGAATTAAGAAAATAATAATAATTAATTGTTTGTTATAAATGATCAATCATATAAACCAATTAAAGTAATTACATATTTCTGATATGAATCACAGTACATGTGTGATTGTTTTGTTTCTTCGCTATAAAAGTTTTTTTTTTAAGAAGAAACGTACATCTAGCAAAGGAAACAATAAACACAAACAAACGAACATATATATATATACTGTTTACCTGAATAATGTCATCATTGTTGTATGTAGTAAACAACAGCATATTATGAAATAATTAAAAAAAGAGCTATATTCAAGAGAAATGGTAATTTGTATTACTTGTCTAAAGAAAGTATGCAATATTTAATGATTGAATGATACTAAGGAGTCACACGTATATGTATCCATAAAGTAAATGTAAAATATGTCTGAGCAGCTTAAAGTTATTGTATTTTTCATTGATCTGAAAAAAATAATGATTATTGATATCTGTGTTTTATGATGAATGTAATTTGATAAATAAATGGAGATCATTTACAAAACTTTATCACTAAAATCAGACTATTTTTTTATGTAACATCTTAAAATATCATTGGAGATTTGTTTGTTTGCTATGAATTTTAGTTTTGTTTTCCAGAAGACATAACATTTATTCAATTTTATTCTTTGAGAAGAAATCAGTCATCATCATTTATCTTTAATGGGTAATATGAATGATGTATATACAGGTTGAATCCATACTTCTTTTTTTATGTTCTCCATTAATAATGATTACTATATGTGATTCTCTCTTTATTCTTTGCTCTCTTTTTGTGTATCATTGTTGTAAAGTTCATTTTTTTCTTGAAATTCAGTTTGTAATGAATTAGTTGAAGATTTCAATCCATTCGATTTTAAATTGTTTGATGATTTACTTCTTGTATCATTGATGTCTGAACGAATTGTGGATTTTCGATTTATTCGACCAATATTTGATAGAACACTTTCTGATCGATATCTAGAATCTTTTAAAATTGGATTACTTGATTTATACTCTTTAGAATCATTTTTTAACAGATCATTTTCTGATTGACCAATTCTTAATCTAAAGAAGAATAAAAGGAGAAATCATGTTGTTTTGTTTAATAAGTTGGTTTTTTGTAAAATTAATTTCATTATATCAGAAGATAACTGAGTCATACCAACGGGTAAAAACTCACTGGTTGAGACCTATTCAATATGTTTGTTAATTGGTCGTAGTACCATAGACTTATTCAGTCTTTATATTTTAAATTATAAGTTTGTACTTTACACGCTTCATAGTTGTAAATCATAGACTGACGTCAGTTAAGTAACCATAGAAAACACGGAAACACTAGGGAAATATTTTGTCCATGTATGAGAATCCATAACAGTACGGAACGGATGGTAGCCATATGATATTGCGAATTGACTGAAGCTAAAAATATAACCAGCTGGATAGCACAGTAATGATCTGAATATCAAATGCTCACTGTGCAACCTGAAGTTTCTCTGTATGATCACTGTCAGGTTTGGAATAATGCTATATCAGAAAATATATCTGTCTAGTGTAACTTTGTTCTCACTGATTGTATAACTGAAGTCAGTCTGTGATCTAAAAACATAAAATTCAATAATTTTTACACATCACCACATATCTTTTATGTTTAACTTCAATTTTGATAATATCACCATTATTTGAACTGATTTTTTTGATACTAATTTCCTCTGCTGATGAAGAATGTGAAGGTTTAGACAAATGTCCTTTTTTGTCAAACCCTCATGATCGAATAAATTGTAAATAATTTATCATATAAACACAATATATACGTTTAGACATTACCATATGAAACTCAGGGTTCACTCATTAAACTCTATATAGGCATCAAGTCGGGTTTGTAAAGGTATGCAGTTAAGCAAATTATCAGTCAATTCAATAAACACCTCATTGATTGAGATTGAAATTTTAGACATCATGTTACACGTTTGGGAAAATACCTAATCAGTATATGTTTGTATGTATACGAAGTAATCGGTTTCTGCTTTCAAAATCATCATAACAAGGAAGTATAAAATGCCAAATATTTTATTGAGAAATAGAAAAACATATCTAGCGTGTAAATACTTGATGTTAAAATATAAACAATTCATTAGCTACTTTATGAAGTAACCAGTACACATTATAAAACCTAGTCCGAGTCCCTATTTTAAATTTGTTACTTGCATACTTACTGGTTGTTATAATATGAAAATGAAGACAACTATTGATATTTATAATCAATTCCTTATGCAAACATGAATTGGTACCTCACTTCATATGATACGAGATAAATAAGCCATCCTAATCTTATTAATTACTTTTGTACTTAGTGAGACGATGATCAGTAGACTATCATATTTTATTTAGAGGTGATCGATTGCCTCGTTTATATTCCTGGTTTTATGGGTTGCTATTTTATCAAATACAATTATATCACAACTGCAACTACAATTATAGCGAAAATAATCTGATTGAATTGGTGTCTGCTCGGTTCACTCAGAGAATGCGACACAACAGATATATGTATATACTGATGAATACAACATAAAGTATTTACAGAACATACCTTTGTTTTACCAAATCATCACTTGTGTCATTAATATTTTGTCTACTTCTTCTTTTAAACAAAATGACTTCTCTTTGATAACCATCGTCATCATCATAGTCTTCAGTTTCGGTTGGAATATCTAATATATTTAACCATTCATCTGCCATACGGGTTTTTGTTGCACGTCTTAATGAAGCTGTTTCACGTGAAGCGCTTAAATCGGCTTTTGCACGTACTAATTCAGCATCTAAATCGATGCTGCGACGTTCCAAACCGGAAATACGACTAGTGTAATGAATAACTTGATCCTCTAATTCATGAATTTTCCATTTTTGATGTTGATTAACACTTCGTAATTCCATTTCTGATGCTTGTGTCGTTTGCAATTCAACCTAATTATTTTTAAAAAATTTTAGCATTAAATAAACATTACAATATGTGTTACTATTTTATTTAAAGATGAATATGTTTTTACTCTAAAAAAGTGAAATGACAAAGTGTTGAAAATAATTTTTGCAATAATCATATTGGTGCTTGGCATTGATACATTAAATCATTGACTGTTAGTGCAAATGTCAGGGAAAATTAAAGTTTACGGCGAGAGTATAATTTATGAACAAGTCAATCAGAAGCGAAGGAGAGATTTCACAGTCACGGCATCTGCTCATTTTCTATTGGTTTACAGCGGATTTCAAAGACGACGTTACAGGTGAGCGACTACAATAGATGGGATTACTAACAAGTTCCTTTATTTGTGATTACGTTGTTCAGATAACTGCACGTTACTGTGCAAACTATCGTGATGATGCTGTATTCCGATGTTATATGTATTGGAGGAAAACGTCTGCTAGAATGGGAACTTTTTTCTCTCTATGCCAATTGAAATTAAGGCAGATTATGACAATTGTTGCATACTGGATAATAAAAGCATCAGTAACGCGGCAACCATTGCAGATGTTACTCAAGCTTTGACAGTTCAGTGGTATCAGTACTTTCAGAATATATGTACAATGAAAATAACAAGCATGCATCAGTCGTCTAGAGGAATCAGGAGAATCTTAGAAATAGACGAAACGGTCGTTAGGGAACGCAAATTTAATAGAGGAACAAGTGTTAAAAAAGGCTGGGCAAGTAGAACTTCCTTAAATGTACTTAGAAGGTCTTTGGTTTACATGATATGTCATCTCAAACGGTGCACTTTCAGCGTATGATAGACTGACAGGTTGAAACGGTGATACCAGTTATATTAGAGTATGCACAGTCGGGTACCACAATATACATGGATGACTGGAAAACATATCGATCACTATCTAGACTTTGTTACGTGAATCCTATCGCCCCGCCCCACTACGGGAGTACGCACAAATAATATAGGAACAGTGTGGTCGAGGTTAAAAGAATTTTTGCGAACTTATCGACCATTATGCAGTCACATGAGTGAGTTCCTGTACCGTATGCATTACGATTTCAGAACTGCAGTCTTTCCAACCTTGAAAAGTTTTCAAACCATGTTGAGGAAGAGCATCCACTCGTATTTTTTTGGTCTTGTATAATCTACCCTTACTCTATACCGACTGTTTCCTGATTGGCTGAAATTTCTCGACGTTATTTAAGTTTAGTTCGAAGGTCGTTTATAAGTTGTAGTCTAGCAGACTGAACAATCCATTCTTCTTTGAGTTAAAAAGGAGTATTTTACCATACTCACGTACCAAGATAGTAAGATGATATAATTTTGCCTCTGTGGTATTTTACTGTGATATGTTAATGAATCAATAAGGCAAAAATGTTTGTTTGTATGATAACAGATTTAGATTGTCAACTTTGTCAATGACAGTTTAGATGCTGTCGAAGTTGTGTTTCGTACCATTGGTGCAGGAAAACATAGTGAGTCAAAATATATCATTCCAAAGCATTGTTTATAGAGAAAACAGCACTGCTGAACTCTACTCACCAATTTATCTGTTTAGATAATCGTTTTATTTTAAAAAAGTTTCCCTTATCCATGATTTACTGACTTTGTTTTGAAATAATAAATCAGCATCTATTTTTACCAACCGTTTTCTTACATAACACACAGGCGATAATGTTTAAACTAAATATGAAGTATCATTTAGGTTGACTATCAAGTAATTCAGTTGAGCCATATTTTCATGAGACATTTTGAGCATTTAATAAATGCTTTCTATGGATAAGCAACACGAAACGCTAACTTCAAATTTCTTTGTTTGTCATACCAGATATTGATTCTCTCTAAAGATATTCATGGATCCACCCAGAGTACGCAGATCAAATATTCCAGTTTTATGAAGATAATGATGAAATAGATAGTTTTCTATATGACTTAAGTGAATTTCTCTTCCTCTAACTGCAAAAGTCTGATCCACTAGTAGGTCGAATAATTACCAGCATTGACCATAGGGAATAAAGCAGCAGGGTGTGTATATACCGTACGAAAATTTATTTTGTTGTAAATTATGCCATGAATATCATTAAAAAATAGTTTGTGTACGGTTTGACAACCGAGTGGTCAGTGTTGAGGTCTAACGCATGATATTAGATAGTGAAGAGTAGTCGTATTGTAAACACGGACATCCATATTCTTATTCGATGGACAGTGTTAGTTGGTTTAATAGTAGGCTAGAATAAATCCAGTAGAGGCCACACAAAAACGTCCCATCGTTCCATAAAGTTGTGAGCAGTCTAACTAAGTCGCGTTGGTAGCCACCTACTACTTGAATAAAACGTGATAAACCTGATCAAGGGCTGAAGACATTAGATGTCAAGATTCAGGACTGATCACGGTAGTGCTAGTGTATTCACTAATTATCATTTTCTAAATCTTTGGTTTAAATATCACCTCATAGTTTTGATTCCACCTAACTATATTTTTCTTATTTAGTTTTCTCAGTATCATCGGTATTATAGATAATCCAATGTTTACCATCCGTGCTTCCAGTTTTGGCTGAGTGTGCTGATGTAGCGTGTACCGTACCGAATTGATCATGACCAACCGATTAGCATAGAATGATGAAGCAGTGCAAGTTATCTTTTCTGTGTAAAAGTTCTAAAAAGTGTGAATCTGTAATTATCTGATGTGATCACATTCCAGACATTTAGACCTATCATTGGATCATTAGGATCACCGGTTTAGAATCTGCCGGTTGAGATATACTACGATTATATTTCAATTCTGTACGTGAACATCTGAATTCAATTCTAACTTGGTTGACTTCAAAGTTCTTTGATAGAAAAGGTTAGAAATCCAATGTCAGTAATGTAATAAGATGGTTAACAAGTATTATGAAATGAATATTCTAGGTGTAAATGCAGTTAGAAGTATTTTTTAGACTAATATTCTTCAGTTTTGTTAGAGTGATCCAGAAAATTGCTTGCAAAAGACAAGCAATCATCAGGAAACACTAAGAAGCGTTTCATCCAATCAGCGTTCACTTGAAGTTTTAACCAACAATATCAAGGAAGCGAAACCTCAGATGCAGAGGTTCTGATTGGCTGATTGCTACCCTGTTACTATGTCCAGTAGCATTCCAGAATCTTCTAGCAACCCGAAAACATTTAAAATATTTTTAAAAAACCTATGTTTTCTGTATTAAAATGGACCTTGGAGTAAACTACTTCTCGCATACTTTGTGTTTTCTCTCTCGTGTTCAGGTTGCTGTATAGTTCTAGCTTGGGGTTACAGAATAGCTTAGGAGACGAATATAGCGTTCAATCCGCAAGACTTATCAAGTTTCATTGAGAATCACTTAATAATATACTATTCGTTGCAGTATGGTATTGTGGATAAATCTAGAAAGTGAAAGGTGCAGTTTGTTTCATTTTAAATTGAAAAAAAACTGATAAATGCATAATGCCATATTTTCTTGTAACAAGTAATCTATCTCATCAGAGAAAATTTGTGGTGTAAGTGAATATTTCTTGGTGGTATGATATTCTCTAAGCTCCTTAGATTGAATCATTCAAGCTAGTGAATACGACAATTCTACTCTAGTTATGACTGTTTGTTTTTATTTTGTATGCACTAGTTCTTATGGGAATGTTCTTTTATTTTCCCATATTAGTTTGATTTATGATCATATAAATCCAATCATAACAAGAATAGAAAATTGAAAACTTTAACCGCCAATCACTGTTACGTTATTCATAATATAAAATTTGTATTTCTGTCCATATACTATTCAGTGCATTCAGAACTAATAGAGTGATTTCGTTGCTGAGTGTCTGATAATCTTAATTGATGATATAGTGTAAACAGAATCAATTAAACGTTATTATTTCACAGTTTCAACTATACATACCACGGATATTTTTCTGAATGAGTTTTGTAATAATGTTCAAGTACATTAATAACATGAAATTCATGTAAATTCAATATCTAAATAAATTACGTTTTATTACACTTATCCAGAGAAATCAATAATATTTCATCAAACTTACTTGCAGTTGTTCTAGTTCCTCACGAACTCTTTCCAATTCAGATTTAATATCTGAAATACGTGCTTCATTGTGAGCTTCTGTTTCACGTAAACGTGCTTGTAATTGACGTCGTTCAGCTGCATTTTCAGCTGTACTTCCAGCAAGTTCTTGTTTTACTTCTGTCAATTCTTTTCTTAAAATATCTCTTTCTGAACGTAATTCATCCATTTCACGTAATTTAGCAATAGCCATTTCCCTATCAGCTGCAGCTCTACCTGTTATTGTAGCTGCTTGTCTAATTAATTCATCTCTTTCTGTTTCAAGTTGGGACATACGATGCATTTGGGCTGTACGTTCTCTATTCAGCATTTTTAGGCGCAATTCGGTCTAATTAAAAAAGAAATTAGCCAATTTGATTAGTTAAAGTTTCAAATAAAGAAATGTTCCATATCAGTTGATATGTATTTCTAAGAGTTATTTTATCTTAAGAATATAAATAATATTTAAATGTAAAGGTTATTTCTTAATAGAAATTAAACATGTATTCAGATTAATTTTAATACAAAATTGATTGATATGCATCAGTTATCAAGTGGTAATCAATGAGCTGACTACTTCTTAAGTGCTAAATAAATTAATGAAAACAAATTTTATCACAGTTACCAAGTTAAATAATTTTATTTTATTGTACACCTTAACAAAATCAATTTCAAATGCATTAACTTATTTTCAAATTAGAAGAAACAATATAAAGCAATAGCTACTGTAGTTCTATCATATCAGCCTGGTATAATAGAAGAATTACGAAGAATCTTAAAGTTACATAGAATTAGAGCTTTCTATAAACTAACCAACGCTGCGAACTGTTTTATTTCAGATAAAAGATAAAAAGCTTTTTATTTGGACAAAGATAGTGTCGACTGTGATACTCTCTATATGTGCGTGTCAACTTGTGGAATTTCGACTCGTGCAAAGTAACATCCGAGCTATGCGAAAAGAGAAAATATTCTTATGGAAATCAGGAATTTTTAAATATTTGGCAACAGTATGTGCTATTTTCAACAACCATCAAATCGACATTAGCAATGTCAAAATAATATAGAAATGTTGTTTAGACTGTAAAGAAAGGTAAATAACAGAAGCTTTTCATATTATACTAAATCCTACTGCGCTCAATAGAATAAAAAACCTAAACATCCGTCGACCTTGGATCGTTTATTCAAATAACGGCATCTAATTGTGTTCATAGTTTGTTGCATGAACGCACATGAAAATTCAACTCGATCCCTTCATATTTTATATTTTTACACATAAATATACAAACAAGTCTCACACCATCTTGACCAAAATAAAATGAAACAGACGTAATCAGACCTATCATTCATTTGTATTTTATATTCTGCTTTGTCCATCTGTACTGTTTAAAATCCTATTAATTTGATCTGGCTATTTCTTCGTTATCTGAAGAAGAAACTTACATAGAGTTGAGAAATGTCAGAAATTCAGTTTTCTACTCATTAAAATATTACAAATTTATCTTTATTTTATTATATATTCATTTATTAATTGGTTAAACTATACATGCTCAAATTGCAAAAATTCTAATTAAATATCTTTGCAATTATCATTATCTTCATTAAAGGTTAATTTCTAATGTAAATGCATGTATAACTATGATAATCTTTGTCATTTTTATTCATAACTAGTGATTGATATCGATGACCTTTTAGAGTTTAGAACGAATATATAATTTTAAGATGAAAATAATAATATGAATTTGCACAACTAATACTTATTACTAAATATTACAAATGATCTTACTATTTAATAAAACATCATTTATATATTTAGGTATATCTCTGTTTTTGTTTGTTAACAATGATAGAATTACGATTTAAGATTCATTTCATTACCACCGCTCAATATTATGTAACATTGAAGTTGATGTTTAATATGTTTATTTTATTGTTTTAATATATAAAAGTATTTACGTGCTTTATTGAACGTATAAATTGAAGTCATTCAATCAGTAATATTGAACGACGAGATTAGAATTGAATCTAAATGGTATTCTGCACAAATAGGTAGTTGGTAACAAATTTCATCATATAGTGGAACTACAAGAATCGATATCAAATAAGGAAAAACTCTGAGTGGTAAAATCGATAAACAATGTTGATGTATAACACTTTCAAGGACTCTAGACATTCAATTCCATACACTTCCTATCTTACTTAATTGATTATTTTAACATTAAACTGTGTTTTGTATACACGTCCAAACATAAATGATTCAAATAAATATATCTATTTTCGATTGAGATCATGAGCCGGTTGATGTTACACCACTATTGAAAACCCGCAAGCACTAGACGGCCTTTTCATCCTATTGTGGGTGTCTTCATTAGTGCACATCCACGATACCGATTGCACGATTCTAACCAAGGACCTCCAGTTGCACGCGAACGCTTAACCTCTGGACCATTGAACCGGCACCCGTCGGTGTTAATGTCTAACCTCAACCAATCCACGAAATTGCACGACCATCTTCCATTGTACTGAGGTAGATACCTGTCTCTACCCAAAACAGATTAGCTGAAGGTCCTGGTTCGAATCCGCGAGCGATATCGTGGATGCGCACTGTTGAGGACTCCCATAATAGGACGAAAGACCGTTCAGTGCTTCCAGGTTTTCAACGGTGATCTAACATCAATCGGTTCATGATCTCAGTCAAAAACAATCTTTACAACCCTATACTGAAAATATATCTACTGCTCGTTGATATTCAGTAACTTGATATTTTTTGACATCGATAAAATAACATTTTTGTTGTTATGTTGAACTTTCGAGTACCTAATGAAGAGACTTTACAGTAAATGAGTTTTATAAGTTAACAATGTAGATATTAAGGAAACATGTTAGTCTACATAACCTAATCATGTTGTTATCGGATAGTTTGAGTATAATGTGTTTCATCGTAACGGGAAGCTGTTGTAAATTGCATTCTACAACTTCACATTTTTAGTAATCTATGCCGATCGGTTTTATTTAATTTCCAATATTAGTATTATCACATTATATATTTAATAAAATATTTCATATCAGCTATTCAATTAAGAAAAGACAAATTAGCACACACGCACGCAGAAAAACATACTTACATCCTCTAATAATGAAGTAGCGTTTTGTAGCTTTACGTTTTGTATATCCAATTCCATACGCCATTGTTGTTTTTCCTTTTCTAACAAATTTACTTTTTCTTCTTTTTCTGTCAACTTCGTTTGTTTTTCGAAAAAAGACAATTAAGAAATAAATTGTTAACATACCATTCTGTATAAAGTTTTTCTTTATTACTTATAATAGTATTTTGAGTAGTAAGGAGTGATATAGTTTGGTAACTAGGATGCATTTTGCAACTAGTTTATCCTAATTTGTTTTTTTTTACTGGGGCTAAGCTCAAAATTACACATGATAGAATCCAATGCGAAATGAGGTTAGCATCGTGAAGGTAATAAGTGCAATCAATATTACTGTTGTTGTGTTTTCAATTGAACAAAGTTTTGTTTCCCTTATGCAACTTTTTATTTGTTTCAACCGTTCTATTAGACTTAAAAATTGTGAAATTAAAAAAAGACCACAATTATTGAGTGAAACTTTGTTGATAATATATTCTATAATACAATATCAATATATACCTCTGCTTGAAATCATGAGTCAATTGAAGCTAGGCCACCATGGAAAACCTGGAAGAACTGGACGGCCGTTTCGTCCTAGTATGTGACTCCTCAACAGCGCCCATCCGCGATCCCGCACCCCGCGAGATTCGAACCTAGGGCCCATCAGTCTCGCGCCAGGCGCTTAGCCATGAAGTCACGTACATACCTCTGTTTTTAGAACAGTGCAATAAATTCTTTCAATGTTAATTTCTATAATAAAAATAAGCTATGGTAATGATTCCAAAGGACTAATCTTGCAACTGTTTTAACTAAATATACTTTAGGTATTCTGAAAATTTTACATTCCACTTGACTGATAATTCTTTCTTATTATCAGCACAGGTTATCATACACCACCACTTAAACTAACATCGTATTGAATAGAATTTTGAGGACTTTCAGCTATTAGACAAGTACTAATATAAAACTAACATTCTGAAAGACCGATATAGAATAAATAGAGAGTATTTTACTATATGGGAATGGCAATGAGCTTCATTCTGTAAAATGCTTTGCAAAATAAGAAGTATTTCAGTGAAACAAGTTATGTATAACATTTTGGGATCCACATAGTTCTGAGGAAAGGTATTCTCTCCGTTGTTAATTCTATATATTTTAAAAATTGATATAATGATAATCATTTTAGTGTTACGTTTCATTGTAATGATACCTAATTGTTTCATGTTATTTTTTTCCATAGGTAGTTTTTGAAGCGTACAAAATGATTATTCTATTGTAGAAACGTTTCTTCATAGATCGATTGCAAAAAACAGGTCACTTAGTTTAAAGCAGAAGGTACCTGGTTCTAGATTCAAACTTAACTAAAATGTATCACTCTTTTAGGTTGACCTGATATAACCGTTTCTTGAAGTGATTGGGTTAAATATACAATGGACAGATAAGATTTTAATGATTCTCAATTAGTTAAGGTGTTTTAATTGTCAATAAAAGCTTTATTTATCAACTAATCATCTCGAAATTCATAAACAAATCGATGAGCACATACCAACAAATGTAAGATTTATTTGTTCAGGTCCGGAAAATATCTGTTTGTCTAATTATCGAAAATTTACATTGAAAGAAAACCATCATCATTCCTAATACATTAATTGACATTCGAACAGGATGATAACAATACTGATATTAAACTTCTTTTAGGCATGTTGACAGTTCGGTTAAATAAACAAAGTTATTAAAAAAAGATTTTTTTTAAACAAGGCAAGTTTAATCATCGTCTGATTGTTAATGGCTTATTTATTCATCAAAAGATAGATAGGGAACTTATCATTGGGAAAAGGATAGCTCTTCATGATATGATAAATGTTGAAACTAAGATTTAATGTAATGAGGATGATCGTGGAAACAAAATGAACCAGTTTGGGTTAGAAAATTTGAGGGGAAGATGGAAGGGGGAAGCACATGGTGTAAAGTAAGAAGTGTATGAAGAAAGAGAAAAAAGAAGGAAAAAATAAAATAAAAAATAGGAGGATGGACATTTGGTCGACTTCTCTAATATGATGATGATGTTTTAATGAAACGATTATATAGCTCATTTGAATTGGTGGATTCAGTGAGTAGACTAGTAGTTTAATTCATGCAATTCCTTTTAAATATAGTATTTTGATTGAAAGTATATCATTACTTGTTACCTAATACTGTTTAGAAACTGCTATAATTGTATTTTACAATAAAAGAATTATTGTAACGCAAAGAAAATCGACAGTAAACAAATTGAATTGATTTCCAGAAATTTTATAAAATCCCTAACACCACTATGTATCACTGCCAAATAAAATTAAACATTTTATTTTTCGTAGTTGAGTTCGTGAATTAATTAAACCTAGACCACCAGCAGCACTGGACGGCTGCCCCATCCTAGAATGGGACTCCTCGGCAGTGCGTATCCACGACCCCGCTTGCGGGGTTCGAACTTAGGACCTTTAGTCCGCGCGAATGCCTAGCCTCTAGACCATTGGGCTGTCATGCGACGGTTTCAATATCTAACTGCAATTAATCCATGAAATTTCTCCACCATCTATAATTGTCTTCACTGAGTTACTATCTCACATACTAGGATGAAACGAACATTCAGTGCTCCCATATTTTCCATGGTGGTATAGCTTTAATTGACTTATGAACTCAACTATTAAATTACTACAATCTTCACAAAACCTCTCCCATTTTATTTTTATATTATTCTTGGCTGCATATCTTATTCAATTTAACTCAATTAAGTGAAAAATTATGCAAATATTATTTGTGATGACTACGATTTATTTGTCTAATGTTCAAGTAACAAGGTATGAATCATTCCCTTTTTGAAAAAAAATGGTATCCATGTGTAAGAAAAATTTTAGTTTTATGTTAAATTCTTAGAAAAAAATCTTATTTTGATTTAGAAAAAAAAGTAAACGTATGACTAGTGATTGATAAATTACATTATTAACGCAATTACAATCTTCCAACAACACAAAATATTTATATATTTAATTTCAATAAAACAAGGATGATGCCAAAAAAACACAAATTGATTGTCACAAAGATAAAAGGTAAGTTCATTTTATATCTCTTTTTGAAAGTCAGATTTAACTAGTAAATATAATCTCAGAAGGGGTTTTGTGGAGATTGTAGTAATTTCAATAGTTGAGATCATGAGTCAATTGAAGCTAGACCACCATGGAAAACCTGGAAGCACTAGACAGCTGTTTCATTCTATTGTGGAATTCCTTAAAAGTGCGCATCCATGATCTCGCCTCTCGAGATTCGAACCCAGGACCTATCAGTCTCCTGCATGGATGCACATTACTGAAGAGTCTCACAATAGGACGAGACGGCCGCCCAGTTCTTCCAAGTTTTCCATGGTGATCTCGCTTTAATTGACTCATGATCTCAACTATTAGAATTAAATAGAATCTACTGACTATGATAAAATTTAAGTTCTCATATATGGAAAGATGCTTCGAGAATCATTGATATATATTTGTGAAAGTAAATTAAATTCTGATAAACAGTTTAATATACGTCAGGGTGGGGTGGGTAACCAATTTACTGTTTAATCTAAAATTACAGAGTAATTTCGTAAAATATCATAATCACACATTAAAGACATTATCTGTACATCTTCCTTCAGTTGCCCTTTACATACTCTATGATTCTTTCGTTTTTGTTGTTATTACAATTACCTTCTGTCTCTTTTCATGTTCTCTTCAATCGAATCTCAATCTTCTACTGGTAGACATCCTACTTCTGATTGGTATTACATACTACTTATATCTCTCAACATAGGTAACATAAACCACATATTTAGTATTGGTTCGTAGGTGAAGACCTACAAGAAAGGCTGAGTTGATGGTTTGGGGTATTTGCTATTAGTCAGAATAGTGTATCTGAATTATTAGAGGTAAATATTATTAGAAATGACATCATGAAGTGTCTGTTAAACTTTGCTATTATAGTCTCGTTTGTAATTCCGTAGAACTGATATGTTTACACTGAATGATCATAGAGAAGTGAGGAATTTTGTTTTTGTTCTATAAAATATAAAATTTCGAAAATCAAAACCATTATGATCTTATAAGAGAAGATCTGTAGTATTTAGAAAATAAGGTTTAAGAAAGCAATGAAGTATGAACCTTGATAATTATCACTGGCAATCAGAGCTGATAATAGATGTTCAATAGTCCTGTATTTTGTTAACAAATATTTGGAAAAAAAGATTAGATCCTCTCAAATGTGCCTTTTGCGATTCTCTTGTGGATCCTTTTTATTAATGAGAGATTTTGTATCGATTTCCCAATAACACCTTTTCTTGATGTTAATAATGTAACTTAAAATATTTGAAAATCAACGTTATTACAGATATTGACATACTTATACATAAGAGGATGATTAAAGATGAAAATGAGTATCATGATGTAACGAAGATTTCAAGAGGTAATACTTACTTAATTAATTAATTAAGTACTTAATCACGCCTGTTACTCCTCGTAAATGAGTGTAGGCGCTCACCAGCATTCTCCATCTAATCCTGTCCTAGGCAAACCTTCCCAGCTCCTTCCAGTTGTTATTCATCCTATTCATATCTGCTTCGATTTCCCGACGTAATGTATTCTTTGACCTTCCGTTTTTCCGTTTCCCTTCAGGATCCCAAGTTAGGGCTTGCCTCGTGGTGCATTTTGATGATTTGCGTAATTTATGTCATATCCATTTCCATCGTCTTTTCCTAATTTCTTCTTTAGCTGGAAGCTGGTTTGTTCTCTCCCAGAGAAGGCTGTTGCTGATGATATCTGGCCAATGGATGATGAGTATCTTGCGTAGACAACCATTTATAGATACTTGTACGTTCTTGATGATTGTTGTTGTAGTTTTTCTTCAAGTTTCAGCTCCGTATAGTAGAACTGACTGCCTTGACATTCGTATTGAAGATTCTGACTTTGATATTGGTTCACAGTTGTTTTGAGTTCCATGTGTTCTTCAATTGAAGGAATGTGGCCCTTGCTTTGCCAATCCTCGTCTTTACATTTGCATCTGAACCTCCTTGTTCATCGATGATGCTACCCAGGTATGTGAAGGATTCTACATCTTCCATAGTTTCACCATCAACAGTGATTGTATTTGAGGACCTCGGTTTAAACCTTGTGTATGTTGAGGCGTACTGATGCAGAGACTGGTGCTACACTGGTTGTCTTTATCTGCATTTGTTCATGTGTATGCGATAGGAGGGCTAGGTCATCTGTGAAGTCCAGATCGTCTAATTGGTTCTGAGCTGTCCATTGTATGCCGTGTTTTCCTTCAGATTTCGAAGTCTTCATAATCCAGTCGACCACCAGAAGAAAGAGGAAGGGAGAGAGTAGACAGCTTTGTCTGACTTCGGTCCTTACTTTGAATGCGTCTGTCAGCTGTCCTCCACACACGACCTTACACTGTAGCCCGTCGTATAAGTTCCGGTTAATGTTGACAATGTTCTCAAAAACTCCGTAGTGTCGAAGAATTTTCCATAACGTCCTCCTATCTACACTGTCAAATGCCTTTTCATAATCAATGAAGTTGATGTATAGTGACGAGTTCCACTCAATTGATTGTTCGACGATGATCCGTAGTGTCGCAATTTGGTCTGTGCACGACCGATCCTTACGGAATCCAGCCTGTTGATCTCGAAGTTGGGCGTCTACTGAGTCTTTCATCCGGTTCAGCAACACTCTGTTAAAGACTTTCCCTGTTATTGATAGTGGTGTAATGCCTCTGTAGTTCTCACATTTGCTCAGATCTCCTTACTTTGGAATCTTGATGAGGTGTCCTTCTTTCCAGTCCATCGGCACTTGTTCCTCCTCCCAAATCTTTTTGAATAGAAGGTGAAGCATGTTTGCCGTTATTTTGATGTCTGACCTCAATGCTCCAGCCGTTATATTGTCGGATCCTGCTGCTTTTCCGCTCTTGATTTGTCTGATGGCCATCCTAATTTCTTCCATCGTTGGTGGATTGACATCTATAGAACGATCTGTGTGTGCTGCTTCGATGTGCGGTGGATTTATTTGAGCCAGCCTATCCAGGAGTTCCTCGAAGTACTCTACCCATCTGTTCCACTGTAATCTAATTTCAGTGATTGGCCTGCCTTCCTTGTCCTTGACCGGTCTCTCTGGTTTACTATATCACCCTGCTAGTTTCTTCGTTGTATCGTAAAGCTATTTCATATTTCCTTATATTGCACCTTTTTCTCCGTCGTTGCTAGTTCTTCCACGTATTTCTGCTTGTCGGCTCTAATGCTCTTCTTCACTTGCTCGTTTGCTTCTATGTACTCAGCTTGTGCTTGGACTTTCTCTGTTCAGGTTCGGCTGTTGTTGATTGCCGTCTTCTTGCTCTACCTTCCTTTGATCTTGTCCAGTGTTTCTATAGAGATCCATTCCTTATAATGGTGCTTCTTTAGACCCAGAACCTCTTGACACGTTGAAGTTAATGCTTCTTCGATACCTTTCCAGTTGTCCTCCATAGTAGTTTCTTCTTCCTTCAGTAGATCCAGTAAGGCTTGGAACCTGTCGTTGAGAGTTAGTTTGAATTCGTTGACTTTGTCAGTATCTCGAAGAAAGGCTGTATTGTACTTTTTTAGTGATGTTTGTCCAGTTTTCCAGTTATTCTTAAGCTTAAGTTTTAAATTGGCCACAACTAGGTGGTGATCTGAAGTTATGTCAGCTCCTCTCCTGGTTCCCACATATTGCATTGTCCTTCGGAATATTTTATAGATGTGAATATGATCTATCTGGTTCTCTGTGATGTGGTCCGGTGAGATCCATGTAGCTTTGTGTATACGTATGTGTGGAAATATTGTGCCTCCTATGACCAATTTGTTGAATGCACACAGATTTGCAAATCTCTCCTCATTTTCGTCTCTCTCTTCCAGTCAATCCATGTCATCCCATGATATCTTCATATTCGGTGTTGTCTATTCTGACTTTGGCGTTTAGATCTCCCATCAGAATGGTGAGGTCGTTTCTTGGGCACTTCTCTATGATTGATTCCAACCGCTCGTAGAATTGATCTTTCATGTCGTCGTTGCTATCATTGGTGGGTGCATAACATTGGATAGTATTCATTGTGATCCCCTCCTTCCTTGTTTTGAATGATGCTTTGATGATTGTGGATCCGTGAGATTCCCATCCTACAAGTGCATTTCGTGCTACTTTGGACAGCATTAGAGCAAGTCCCTGAGTGTGTGTAGAATTTTCCTCTTCGTAACCGGAGTATAGCAGGAACTCTCCCGTATCTAGCTTTTGTTGTCCAGCTTGGGTCCAATGGGTTTCGCTCATTGCCAGTACTGCCAAGTTGTATCTCCTCATTTCCGTTGCTATTTGACTGGTCTTCCCGGTCTCCCACATTGTTCGGACGTCCCATGTACCTATGAAAATTGTTGCTGTGCTTGTTTGAAGGAGCGTTGACGTCGTGGCTTCCGAAGGAACATGGCTTTCACCATGAGGCGTCATAGTTCTTGTAAATGAAGACCTTCTAACTCCCAAGGCAGAGTTTAAATGTTTGAATTATTTTTTGTGGTTAGCGTTTTTTAGCGAGTTAGTTTTCTACGGGATGGTTTCGCTAATCCCGAAGCCTAACCCTCCTCCTTTACTCTAGCTTGGGACCGGTAGTAACTCTAGAAGAGCTACAATCGGCGTTCAAGAGTTAAGAAGGTCATAAAAAATTGTTTAGGATAAATAATGTTTGGAAGGAAAAGTTTCAGAACATTGAAAAAGTGATTAGAACTCATGGAGTTAACAAACGTTAAATGATTGTGTAATTAAGCAATCATCTGTTTGTTAACTTCATGAGTTTTAATCAATATTTCAATGTTCTGGAACATTCCCTCCCAGACATTAACTATCCGAAACAAATTATCTTATGACCTTAACTTTATTGAAATCTTCGTTACATCATGATACTCATTTTCATCTTTAATCATCCTCTTATGTATAAGTATGTCAATATCTGTAATAACGTTGATTTTCAAATATTTTAAGTTGTAACAAACTGATAAGAACCTAACGAAATAAAATGAATTCATATTACTATGCACGAATCTTCGTTCTTGTTCTCTTTAAAATAATAAAGGGAACTATATGTATGAAATGTTAATATTCATTATACAATTAATTGAAAACAGAAAGGATTCTGGATTAGGATGTTTGTTTAACCTAACCAGAGAACATATTAAAAATCTGCTTATTGAATTAACTGAAACTATATTTGAGCGTATATAATTTATAATAGAGGGATTGAAATTGTTTTAATTATATGGGTCATAGACACTTAAGAATTATTTTGTCTACGATTTACATTAGTAGTAGAATCTTTGTAAATCACGGGGAACTGAAGAGTTGTTTCATTTTGGCTTGTGACTTCTGAGTAATGACTCTGTATTCGATCAACACTACCTATGAATAAAGCAAGTTTTATAGTTATATTATTTTCTTGCTTGTCAATAAAAAGTGTATATTTATTTTTTAATGAAGGTTTTATGCAGATGATAGATTTAGTAGTCTTATTTCAAGTAAAGAGAAAATATCACCTACTTGTCTTTGCATGGATACAGGATCGTTGTCAATACGATATTGGTCATATTCTTCTCGTAATTGATCTAAACTCCTCTTATAAAACATAGCATCAGCCCGTAATTTTGATTTGATGGATTCCCACTCTCTGGTTACTATTCAAGAATGAAGTTAATGACAACAGTTAATTTATTGAACAACTACTCATCATTAGATAAACAAACATGAAAGATTGTTTAAGTCTACAGAAGTCTTGGATTTTGGTTCACTCCAATATTCCTATAATTTAATATGTAGCGTGAGGGAGATATATCTTTTATTAAGAGTGTGAACATGTATTTCTGGGTTTCAGAGTCTAAGCTCTTACCTCAAGGTTACTTATATTTATGCGTAATTAAAAAGTAGGGGATTTTAAATGATAGAGTTCCTTTGGATTTTACAGGTTGATTGGTGATTGCATCCGGTTTTTGATAAGTCGTTCCATGAGATTAACCTATTGTATTTGATGTCAAACACAAAAGTCTATTATTGATAATTATCAGGTCACAGGTTGAGGATCTTGACTTAAACTAACTAGTTCTGATAATCTTCGTCTTCTCATTGCATTATCGAAATTAAACTAATCAACCGTCCACATTTCACTAGCCTTGTTTGTAAATGATTTAGACGAAAATAAATAGGTGATAAATATGTTAATATAATATTTTGTATATCCCATTATCATATTATCATCACTACATCTAAAATAAACTAAAAGGTAATTAGCATCACTGATTCCGTTGGTAGGCAATATATCTTAGTATATTTAACATCAACTTTCTAAAGGCTACAACTATGCCTCAATCATTAGATTTAACCTACTGAACTCACGAATTCAGTAGTCGATATTATGATAAGTTACTTCGAGTTACTCAGTTAAGTGGTTACGTATAAGACGTGACCGGTAGATTTACAATAATACCACGAACAAAAACATATGACATAAATTAGTTTTCCTAAGATATGATGATGAAAATGCTATACAAGTGAGAATGAATTTCCTTAAGTTTAACTTGAGAGATCGTAGTTACGAAGTTTACATTATATGACATGATAGAACCTTCAGATAAGGAAAAACACTAAAACGCCTATTTTCTTTTCTTGTGGCGTACCACATGAACCCTTGTGGTTTCTGTTATTAAAAGGGTGAGTATTAAATGTTTTTAGAATGAAGTGGTTGAACTGCGAAAAAATACGATAAGGTAAGGGAGGTAGTCTAAAGGAATACAGGAATACATTATCAAGTTTATCCGGTCAGATATATTTAATCTGATGGGACCGGTTTCAAGTCAAGTGGTTCATTTAACTCAACTGATAATCTCCTTTAAGTGACAGATCGTATTTTACGATAGAAAAGTAATTATACCTTTACGAACTAAAAATCAATTAAGTATGTTTGTTTCATAAAAACCGAGCAATTAATTAGATCATCTATTTCAGTAAACCAGTTCAACTGATCATTGCCCAATAGAAATTTATAATAATGCTATCTGACTAATATAATATGTTACTGACTTCGGTTTTATCGGAATAAGAAGTGAGAAAGCGATTATCACAGATGGTATGTTAATGATTTAAGAATTTATTATAATATTCATTTATCAAATAAGTGAATACTTGTTCTTCAATACGCTAAAACAATTTGAAATAGGAGAGTATCAATGGCACTTAATTAACTTAAAAGCAGGAAACTAAATATATTCATAATAGTTGCACAAATAACAATTTTATCTCACTTTACATGAGAAACAAGTCAGATTTAGTGATAAAGGAAATAAATTTGTTTCATTTTGCTAGGCATAAACAGACTTACCTAAATCATCTTCTGGTTCATTGTAATCACGTAATTCAGCTAATTGTTGTTCCAATTCTTTATTTTGTTGTTCAAGTTTTGTACGCTTTCTTGATTCATCATCTAGAAGTTCTTGAACATCTTTTAATGTACGTTGATTAATCATTTCTTTCTTAACAAGTTCATCGTATTCATCTTGTATATGACGTAATTGTCTATCCAGTATAGATATTTTATCATATAAACTAAAGTTTTCAGCTTCTAGTTCTTCCCGATTTTCCGCTTCTTGTTTAACGGTATCCTGATATCGTATAGAAAAGTAAAATCAGTTAACTATGACATAAATCTTTTTAACCATGAGTAACAGTTGGTTTCAGTAGTATCTGGACCTATGTACTGATGAATTATCTTGTTAATGATTTAAAGAATCATGCTTCTGTGGCGACTATTTGATGCTTTTCAGCGATGAGAAACTTTACTGTAACAAAGGTAAGTTGAAATATACTTTTGTGGTATGTATAGAAGATCTACAGATGATCATCGGGAAGGGATGAGTGGGGAGATTGTTCTAACCTCCAGGTGATCCCAGCAGACGCTGGTAATATTTCTAAGACATCTGTGGTCAAATACGTTTTTCAACCATAAAGTGAAAAAGAACTAACTGCTTAGCAGTATACTCGTCCCTTAATCGATAGACGGATATCTCACCTTCGCCATAGGTGGTGACGTGAGTTGGCAAAGGCGAACGAGCTTCTTGAATCTGTACGGAGATCTCGTCAAACACCAATCTATTAGGGTTGATAACACTTCGAAGATGAGTGAAGTTGTCGACACGTACGACTACTTCACTCCCTATCCTTAGTTCAGGTGTTGACGCAGGCCAGTCCTGAAGCAACGACTTGCATTTAGATAATGAGAAACTCATTCCAAACATCCTGGAATTGTCTCTCAGTGCCACCAAAGCACTCCGCATTTCATCAGCGTCTTCACCAAACAGGTCTATATCATCTGCGTATTGTAAGTTGATATGTGGACCTCGTGGTAGGAGATCAATGCCTGCAAATTCGGTCGACGAGAACGTTATTTCCAGCAGTAGGTCTGTGATGAACAGAAATGGAGATAGTGGACAGCTTTTTCGGATAACACTTGAGGTCGAAAAATCAGACGACAACTTTCCATAAGCTCTGGTCCGACTGGTAGTGTTCAAGTAAAAAGCCCTCACAAGGTTTATGTACTTCTGAAGTGCACAATTCAGTGACAGACACTGACACAGAACCTCTCGGTCTACAGAGTCAAAAGCTACCCTGAAGTCAAGTAAAATCGTCATTGTCGGATACCGATATGTATACCTGTGTTCTGCAACCCACCGAATAGTGGATATGTGGTCAATGCAGCCACGACCAGATCTGAAATCAGCTTGATTTTCTCGTATTTGCATTTGTCCAGTCTTTGTTAGGCGTCCAGTATTTATTGAAGTTAGTATTTTAGATGCTATATTAGTCAAACTAATCTCTAGCCAAAACGGAAAGCTGACAAGATACACCCTCCTGTATCTGGCAATCCGATGGCTAGTTCTCGTGGAATGGCACCTGTAGACTTAGCACTATGTACGAAGGAAAAACGGCTACTATTAGAATAGATCCCCGTTAACTGTCTCTTATGTGCTGTTCGGCTAAACGGCTCCGTAAGAACTCGGAAGGATAGAGACACACGTAGTTGCCTTTTCATCGTTTCTGCCTACTATCCAACAGACTGCAACCCTGGACGAGGTGAAAGATGACTTTTACAGAAAGCTTCCTGAACTTCTTGATAAAGCTAAACACTGAGACACAGTAGTCGTAGCAGTCAACTTCAATGTCCAAGTGGGTAGCTTAAACCAAAGAGAAAGACATGTATTTGGGCATATAGTATTCCGGCTCAGCGAGCAGATAATAGTGAACGTCTGCTGCGACTGTGCTCCGACATTAGTTTACTTCTAACAAGCATTAGTTTTAAGCATAGGAATAGACATCGTCTAGCATGACGACTCCCTGTACCAAACCAACGGCGGACTCAAGTAGACCATATCGAAGAGGCTCGATAGAAGACTCCCACTCGTTCTGGAATACATGTCTAGATTCTGATCATGCACCAACACAAGCACACATTTGCTTGGGCCTCGCTGGACACAGAAAAACCACATTAAGAAGATCCATTAGAGTTGAACTCAGTGACAAGAAAAACAAATGTAGATTCCAGGAACAACTGAGGTCACACCTAGGCAGTTCTGGGAAAATAGACCTTCTGAACTGTGGTGATATTAAGATTTTAGTGTACTGCTATATTATCTGTATACCTGCTAACATTCAGATTAAGTGAAAGATACAAATAAACAGTCTATGAATAACATGGTTTTTAACAATTAGAAAGCGTACTTCTGATTCAATCAACTGTTTATGCATAAGTACCAATTGTTTTTTCATTTCTGCTAATTGATGTGATGTATTGCTTCTTGGAGTTAAATCATTCACTTCCTCTCTAGATTGTGTTCTAGATGATCCAAAGAAATGTTGGGCTTGCTGTTGATTTAAATTTGTTTTACCAATTAGAATTGGTGAGTTCAATAAGTCTAATGCACATTGAGTATTACTATCAAGTTGTGAAGACACATCAGAATGTGATGATAAATATTCTCTGAGTTTAACAACTAAATCACGATGTGTAGCCAGTTCATTTTGTAGTTCAGTAATTAGCTCCTATAAGAATATTCGGGAAATAAAATAATTATTATGTATATTTTTAAATTGCGAGTATTGTTTATTACTTAACACATAGTTATGGGACCATTTATGCTGTAAGATACTTTGACAAGTAATTACATTAAAAGATATTTCTAGTGAAAACAAAGCTTATCATAGTTATTCGGCTTATCAAATTCATGTATAACGGTGTGAACATCACAGTTTTAAAAATAATAATAATTGGACATAATTTTATTGAGATCATGGGTCAATTGAAGCTAGACCACCATAGAAAGTCTGGAAGCACTGGACGGCCGTTTCGTCCTATCATGAGACTCCTCAGCAGTGAGCATCCAGACTCATGATCTCAACTATTAAAATTACTATAATATCCACATAAACCCCTTCCGATAATTTTACTGATTACTTTGATGAAAACAGAAGTTATAAGCTCATTCATAGATCAAAGACACGGATATCTCGGTTTAAACCGTATCTTGGGTTGATTTAATTTTGTACTTAGAGTGAATTTTAAACAGTCAATTTGCATGTATATCACTTTCAAATGTAAATGAATGAAATATTGACAACTTTTTATTGTCAAAATAAAACAAACAAAATACGGTTTTTAGCTAAACGATAAATGTATTTCAAGTGTATCAGTGTATAAAATGTAAATTTATTTCAGTGAAACATACCATAATTATTAATTGCTAATAGCAAAGCTAAATCAACTTTAAAGTTACAGTGCGAATTTCATAATCTTTGTAATTCAGTGAATAAACAATAGGTTTGATAATAAACTAATTAATGTAACTTGCATTAGAACACATTTGAGGTACAATTAACCATTTTATTAGTGTGATAAACATTAAGTTCTTGGTCTCATTCAGATAGAAACTTGTTACAATAACTCAGTAGACTCTCATATTGGTGATTTTAAAAGTAGATTTCTAATTTATTTAGATCAGGAATTGAACTATTTATCTTAATCCAGAACTATAATGACCAATGAACAGTTGAGAGAGCCATGTATAAATTAGGTTATTTTGACAAAATGTAACAATACATGGTTGAAAATCTCTCCCAAATGAAGAAACTAGAAAATGATGCAGTAATTTCATTAACAACTATTGGAATTACTAACTGTTAGCTTTGAACCTAGCAATCAATGAGTCTAAGCACATCAATAACTTAGAAACAATGACGTTTACAGCCTCAATATTTTGTCAACATTTCAGCTGATACCATTTCAGAATGTAAATTATCATTTGAATTCAATAGCTTTAGTAACAATTGGTTTGTATTTTATCTGAAAAATATGCCATGTTTGTCACTTACATGTTTATCACAATTGAATAAACCGATGACACAATAGTTTCTAAAGGATTTAAATTCTGACAGCTGATAATAGCTGATATACACATTCGTCATTATTCATATAACAATTAAAATGAATGAATACTTATAGCAAAGTAGCTCTAATAGAATGATTAATTAAAATAATAGAGGACCTTTGTTAAAGAATAAATTGATATTCTTTAGTCATTAGGTAAATCAATGGTATTTTATTATTATTCCAATAAGAATAAAGCATTATTAATAAAAGCAGTGTTCAGCAATAAGTACTCAATGAAGATGATCAGAAAGTGGATTTCATCTCGTCGAAAATCCACAAATCACTAGATATCTTCTATGGTAGTAACTTCCTCATACTCTTAATTTACTAAAACTAAAGAATAGTTTTGGAAAATATGAAAAGAAGGATTAAGATTACACAAGATGAATTAAAAACTATGGTTACGTATCCAATTTATTTTTCAAGGAATATTATTTGTGATGATGTAAATTAAAAATATGATGTGTGAATGATAATGATTGGTTGTTTGCTTAGTCAAATATGTAGATAGTCTGACAAGCGTTAGGTGAGTTATATATTTCCCTATCCTTATTACGATTATTATTGATTGATTGTTGATTGCTGTTGAATTGTTTTCGGTTCTTGGTGTGGAAATATATTTGCATTCTAATCAAGCTAATCACGTGTTCTTTATGTGAGTTGTGTTGAAGCCCTGTAGAATATACACTGGGAGGGAATCTAGTGTAGATATTCGTTTAAGATAAATTAACGTCTCATTCGTGTAAACGTGAAAAACCGAACGTTATAACAAAATATATCCATTAAAAAAATGTTTAGCTTACTTTTGTCTTCACGTCTTTTTCATCATTTTGGCTTTGTTCATTTTCATCATTACCAACTCCATTCGCTAATAATTTACTTCTTTGTTCTAATTGTTTACTTAATTGATTCACCATAAGTTCAAGATTACGCACATATGCTTTACCTTCAGCTTCTGTAGAATTTTTCTCTTCTAGTTCCGAGCTCAAACGTTCAACTTTACTAGATTCTAAGGCTAAAATATGTTGTAATTGCTCTACACGTTCACCAAGAACACGAACCTGAAAAAAGATAACATGAATAAGTGTTACTTGTGGTAGTTATTAGTATGATTTATGACTAAATGAAAAAATACTGAAGGTTAAAATACAATCAGTTTATGTCTATAATTTCATGACTGGATATTTGAATAATCATGGTAAATAATTCAGTATTACGGTACTCAGACTAATTTAAAAAGGTGAACGTCCTAAGGTTCACTCTGAAGAGTTCTAAACGTGGATCAGTCAAATATTCAGTATTTGTTTATGCCTTGGACTGGCGTAAATTCAAGGTTAGAACCAAAGTTATATTAATTTATCTCGTTTCTTTAATAATTAAATAACTAAAATGTGGTGCATGCTCTTGTGTTGAATATACTTGCTATTGAGGTATTTGAACTTTTGTTTATGGAAAAGGCATCAATCATACTAACAACATTTTCGTGTAAAGTTAGAACTTAGTGAAGAAAATACAAGACATGCCACAATTATAAGGTAAAATCTCAACTTGTTAGATATTGTACAAATGTGATTACTATACTAATTAATTAGTTTTTAAGGAATGTTTGTTCGTAACGAGATTGTATTAAACAGAGAGCTGATTCATGCTACACGTTAGGAAAGTTCTATTGTATGAAACGCTGTGATACACTTACAAAGTATGGAATACATAAATTAAGGAAAGCAACTGTCCTCAATTCATTCTCAACAAGTCATGGAAAATTATTAAACTGGTTTAAAGTTTATAAATATATTTCCGACACTTCAAGGAGAGATCTAATTAGTTTAAATACAGTTATGGACGTAAACCACGAATTGTACAGTGGGTGAAATCAACAAATGCTATAAAAGCTTACGGTTATAGATCATGTTTTATTTTGAATTGTTTGAAGTAAAAAAAACTTAGGCATACTTGTCTAATCATCATTGTACTTCTCACGAGACGTGAAAGTTCTACATTCTAGGTCAAGTGGTGTCATTACTGAACAGTTATGAAGTAGGTCAACGCATCTCTTCAGTACTTCCCAGTTGATAATAATTGGGTTCAGTTCCAAGTTTAAAAATTAAAATTCATTTAAATTACAAAAAACGCGTTTGTGAAATATGGAAAAACTAACTTGATTTTTATAATGTTCAGCAGAACGTAATTGTTGTTCATCTGCCTCCTCACGTAATAGTTCAACTTGATCACGATAAAATTCCGCATCATTTTTCAGTTTAGTCATTGGAGATCCTTTGAGATAATAAATTTTATTTTCAAATTTATGTTAAATAAATGAATAAAGTAATTGATTCATTAAAATACCTTTTCATTGAATGAATGATTAAGCTAGAATTTTAGCATCATTTATTGAAAGCAAAATCTCTGATATTGTGTTTTCAAGAAGAATAATAAACAAAACTATACTATTGAATTTTGCTTCCGAAACCTGTTCAAAAACGTGACAGTCAAAGGGGCTAAGCAACAAATATCTATTACTTCAGACGTTATATCAGTTTTAACAGATCGTTTTGACAAATTGAAGTGATTTCTAACATATCATGAACTGAACGTTTTTATATCAATACTCGATTCATTTCATGTAGTCTTATAACATCTTAACAAGTTTTTGATGTAGGCAATTAAAAACAATGAGTAATTTGAAAATAGACTACAAGTTTACTTTTCTTAAACTTGTATTAATCACACTGAATTTTCTTGTTAACCTTAATCAAAGTAAATTAGAACAAACAGCAATCATTTTTATTGAGACTAAATAACATTGAATATCTATTACTAACTATTTGAGAATTTTTAATAGTTGAGTTCATGACTCGATTAAAGGCAAACAACTATGGAAAACCTGGAAGCACTGGATGGCTGTTTCGTCCTACTACGGGGTTCCTCAGCAGTGCGCATCCACGATTTCATGAATTCAACTAATAAAAATTACTACAATATCCACAAAATCCCATTCTGATAATAGTTCAGAATTGTTTAATAATAATATCCATCATAAAAGAAAATATCACAAGGTTACGATGTAAGCCAATTTTGACACATTCATTGAATTTCTCCATCATTCTAAATGAATTAACTTACAATATTTTCAGAGAGTATTTATCTACATTGTAGATGAATTTGATTTCATAGGTTAATTACCTCCGCTATATACTCAACTGTTCTATCACTTAAATGTAATTGATTATCTACATCATTTAATTTGCTTGGTTATTGATGTTATTATAATTGTTTACCATTAAGCTACTGATGTTGTTTTATAGAAGAAATACATGACAAACTTAAAATTAATTATAATCATAATAGTTGAATTATTGAAAAAAAAAATGAAGTAATATGTAGTACACAATCACACAACGAAGCCTTATCATCCAGAACACTAGGAAGAAAACAGTGAACAAATAACAGACAATATTCTGTGAAACATCAATCTAATGACCTATTATTTGCTTGCTATTGAAAAATGCCAAGATATTTTAGGTTTCTATTACTCAAGATTATAGTAAAATAAGTTTGAAAATGTAATGAAGTACATAGGGTATAGTGTTGGTCACATTTTTTGATGTTACATTTTTTTGTGTGTGATTATTTTTAGATTCACTTAAAAAAAATCTGTCTAAAATCCATTCATACATTGTTCCAATTCAATTGTCTAATAAATGTGATTGATTATCGATTGAGACAAACTGTTTTTTGTGAATAGAATATAAGTATATCACTAACAAGTGTTGATACCTTACATCAATATATATATATATATATATATATCTTATTGAATGGAATGATGACATGTATGAGTAGGATTACTTAGAATAACTGAATGAAGTAGAATCGACAATGTTAGACAATGTTAGACACTATCACCACTGGATGCCGGCTCAGTGATCCAGTAGGTTAAGCGTTCGCGCGCGAGACCGAAGGCCCTGTGTTCGAATCCTGCGAGCGGGATTGTGGATGCGCACTGCTGAGGAGTCCCAGTGCTTCCAGGTTTCCAAAGTTGGTCTAACATCAATCGGTTCATGATCTCAATCAAAAACTTAATAATCTCCACAACCCCTATACTAGTGATTTTTTAACAATTTGTAATGTTTAAGTTTAATAGGAAACTTTTTATGATATTATTTTTAACTCGAAATAAATTTAAGATGTACCTGTTTTGAATCAATGAAGTTGTCATTCTTAGGACGTAGAAATGTTGTATATAAGAAGCAGTCACTCGCTTCAAAGAATTGATGTATTATAATGAAATTAGTAAATTATGGTAATTAGGCTGTGCAGGCGGAAGTTCGTTGATTCCCATTAACTGGTATGACAATATAAGACTTTATTTGATTCACGCTTGTAATGAATGAAATTAAAGAGTGTTCATTAGCTGAACTACAACTAATAACAATTGTATTACATTTAATTTGTTGAGGATTTTAAAGTTATTGCAGTCAGCTCTCTTTATAGTTAAATCACGAATTCCATATTATGCTTATAAAAACGTATCATTTATGAATATGGTAGTTTAGACTGATGTTAACTTTTCATTTTACTCTCCTACACCTACAACTATTAAACACCTAAACATTGGAATTAAACGTAGGCTTTTTAGTAAGACTAGGTGTCAACCCCAGGTTTAAAAATGATCTTCAAAGTTTCATTATGAGTAACGAGTTATGATGTCTGATGATCAGGCTATAAAAATGTCTAAATTAAATTATTAAGAGCATCATAAAAGTTGTTTGGTTGCTGCTCATATGTATCATAAGGAACGAATAAAATAACTAGCGAAATATTTTTATACTACATAGATCAATAATTAATTACCGGGATTTAGGGGTGACGGCTCAACTTCAAGCAAATTACTAGGCTTCTGAGGAGCTAATGCATTTAAAGCCTTGTTATCAGCAGCTAACGTCTGCCAGAACTCTTGGTTTTTACTCAGCGCTTCTGATATCTATGAAGAAGCAATAAGATTGAATGGAGAAAGTAGAGGAAAGTAATAGAATAATTAAGTAATAGAATAGTTAACATATGCTATCATAAATGATTTACATTCGGATCAAATGACCCTTCATTGACGCTGTTAATAGAATCAATAGCATCATTCAGTATCATAAAATAGACGATTGATCAGAATACATAATTAATTTCCTAAATGAAATTTTATGGTGAAGAGTCGTATTCCATCTGACTATCATACTTTAAGAAACATTTTTGTTAGTGTAGTTGCGGTGCTTATCAGTGTATACGTGTTGTACCCTACTCCACATGCATTTTTGTGCACATGTCAGCATGTACTTTACCTGAAATGATATTCATCATATTAGCTTGCGATTCTCGATTCCGTTGAAATGACTGAATACTTTTTTACTAGGTTTAATAAAGACTATCTATGTCAAATCGCGAGGCATCATGTTCGAAAATAAGAAGTGTTTAGCTCCCAGCAAGTAAATCGTTGTGATTTATGTCCCTGGGTTATTGGATCAGCTAATATGTTTAAATAGTTGAAGACTTCACTTAACGTATTAGTACATTTGAAATTTACTCTGATAATGTTTAAAATTATGATTTGTAACCTTGGTTATATTTGGCTGCACTTGATTTCCATCCAAACGGTAAAATCTGATATTGGAGAGTATTTAATCCATTTAACATCTTTCGAAGATCTCGAAATCTCAGGCGGACATATTCTAAAATAAGAGGGCTTTCACCATGATGTCTCAACACCTCTTTAGAACGATCATTGATATCCACTTCCAAATCAACCAATCATCTGTTGAAGACTACCATGGTATTTTATGGCATAATATGAGGATGTAGTGTAAGTTGTTATGTTAAGCCTATATAGCTTATTCCGGCTTCCCGAAAAAGCTAGTTTGTTCATTCTTTACAAGCCATATTTTTACACCGCCACTTAATCGCTTATCAACCTTGACTGTTTTTATGTGTATGTGTGTGCATTTCTTATCTTACTCATCACATACCTGTGACTGATTTTTGTCTGACTATAAATATTGATTTACGCTTGATTTAATTGGGTTGGATCACACGCTTTCTTCACTGCACATCATTTTGCTTCGCTCTCTTCTGTTTCTTCGCCTTGTTTCTTTGATCATTTGTCTGGATCAATGATGGTATGAAATATACGCATTCAAAATTCATTCTTGTATTTGACTTATTTGATTCCGTTATACGCAAACGCGAGTTAAGTCACTTATGTACGAGGATAGCCAGGATGTATATTTCGACAGCAGTCATTCGATAACGACCATACGATCTAACTAGAGCTAGACCATGGGCCAACAAAAGGGTTTTTTATAACGAGTCGTTGTAAAAGTGAATTATATGTTCAGTATTTGTGAATTTTCAGATACCAAAATTATTCAGCTACAAAGTTTGTATGGGTACCATAGCAAATCAAGATATCATTTACTGTCTTATCTATAAGCGACAACAGTGATTCATCGATTCTTTAGACAGTTGGTCGAAGTGCTTGAATTTATCGCTTTTTTAACATTTTATTGCAAGAATAACTTGAATAAGTAGTCATTCAAAAGTGAATTAAATCCACAGAATGAATTATATTAAATATCAAAAATACTTTATATAATGTCATTCATTATGTATATATGAATAGATTTACCTGTTGTACTAAACTTTGCACTGTAGATGCGTTTGACACATTTGTACTCATTTGTTCCAACTGAAAGGAATTCATGCCAGAAAAACAAAAGTATTAACAATGAAAAAAATTATTCTGTCATACTGATGATTTCTATTAAACCACCTATCTAAATAATAACTGAATAATAATGCCAATTAAGAATTATTCAACAACTACAAACCGATTCTCTGTAGAAATGAATATTTTAACAATGACAAAAATGGAAAACCGTGGAATAAAAACTATAGAAAAGGATTAGATAAAGTTGAGAAATACTCATTATATTTCATTAAATCAGAGGGTTAGCAACAACATTTATGCCAGGTAGTCGGAGAAGTGTGTCCAAATTTTAAAAGAATTAAACCAAGCTGTTCTAATTTTAAAAATTCGGGTTATAATATATCATTTTACAAAGAAATCTTTTCTTGGACAGCTTTCTCTGATAAACAAATACAATCCTCATTCTTTTATGGGAGTCATTTAATTAAAACACCAGAAATAATATCATAGGCTTTTAGAAATAAAACCATGATTTAAAGGAACATTAAATAAAAGAACTAGAGAAGCTAAAGTGTAAACTTAAAGTCTTCATACTAACTGTTACTAAGTTCCTGAAAATCTATAATATCAAAAAGCAAACTCATTTTCAGATCTGAGTGTAAGGATTGTTTTTCTAGCCAAAGAAACCAATTTTATATATGGAACCGAAAGAATATATGGACACATGTTTGTATCAATACATAAAACACATAAAGTACGAATAATTTTTATTTGGGGTGAATATAAAAAACTTTCCCACAGAACAGATATCTGAGTAATCTACAAATCAGTCAAAAACTATATGACAATGAGGCAATAATGAGTTGTTAGAAAATAAGCTGATTAAACCATCGAATCTAAGCTCATAAGCCTAAAGCCCGGATCTTCAAGACATAATCATTACTTTTAACAACCTGTCTTCTATGGATTCTTACGTAACGTTCATAATTGATTCTCATTATAGCATGAATAGCATCTCATTAATGTAAGCCCAAATTCATGTCATATTAATAACAATTAATGACTATAACTTAAAGTTTGGCAACTTCAGATATTCGGTAGAAATACGATACTTTGTTGTTCTAAGTAATCTGAATATACTGTATGCAGTCCGAACGATAGTTTGTGTATTATTCCATCAATAAATCACCTATACAGTAAAATCTGACGATCACATGTAGTCTGACGATTGTTAGCTTATTCAGAATGACTTTTTGAATCTAATCAGTTCTTTTAAAAATATTCCACGGCTTTGCTATGAGGTGGTTTCAGTAAGGCGATATATATATATATATATATATATATATAAATCAAGAGAGAAAAAATAGATCGAAAGTGATACCATTTCATTAGTTATGCTCTAACAATAAATAAACATTACAACTAGGCGGAATAAAATTAAATGATGGAGAGAAAAAATGTGTATGAAATGACTTAACTCACCAACTGTACTAGATTTGCTACTCTTGCTTGATATTCCGCATTTTCGAAGCGTAACATACGAACTAGTGCTTTGTATCTTTCTAATTCACTCTACAAATAAGATTGGAGTAAGCAATAAAGATGTTTACTAGTTTACTGGTAAGGTAGTAAGATAAATATTACTTACGATAGGATTGATAACAAGTGAAAATACTGCAGCTCTGGAAGCTGTTTTCTTCCGATTTAGAGATCCACAGAAGTTCCAATCCATGTGATCTTAGTAACACTCGATAATTCCTACTACCCACTTTACTGTTAATTTACATTTTATATGGATCTTTAAACAGACATTTATAATGAGTTATATGTTCATAAGAAAGATCTCAGATACGGTCATATAATAATCTGAAAGTAGTGATTGTTATAATGTCCTATTTCTAGTGAATATACAACTATCTGGTTGTTCTTGTATGATGTTTATATTTTAATATGTAATTACCAGGAAAGATTTGAGACGGTAGAGAAGTATCAATTCGATATTTTTCATCGGTTTTTTTTACTAATAAATGATTTTGTTTGCGGCTTTTTGAAATTTATCTGAACATCTTCAGTTAATTTTCGTTTCAGTGATAAAATGAAACAGTGTAGGAAAGTTAAGATGCATAACCTGTTACGTGTGATTTTGATGGATAGTCCAGTGTTTGTCTATCAGGATCTGCTAGTAAATAAGAATAGTGCGTAAATATTCGTATTTATGGAGGCGATACTCTTGAAATAAAGTTGTAAAAACGATCGATTGTATTCGATTATAATAAAGCACTTGGGTTTTGATAGGTTATTACTTCAATATACATAATAATGACAGAATTTATATCAATGAAGCGAATCATTTTAAATTAAAGTCAGAAGATGAAGATAATTTTGATTTATTTATTTCAGTTAAAGAGTTTCATAACGTTATACCATTTAAAATAGGGATGGTGAATTAAATTTTAAAAACTTATGTGGGCAATCGAAAGTAATTTGGTTACTCCGTGTGGCTTGTTATTATCGATAAGAAGAAATAAACAAGAAAATATATTTTCGATTTTTCACAAAGTCTGTTCTACCATATCACATTCAAAGTTATTAAAAGCATTGAAATTGTAATTTACAACTAATTTACACAAAAGTAATAGAATAAATACTTTCCAACATAACTTGAAAATAGAGCGAGACTCTAATTTAGGGACGAGCCAATCAGAAGCGTTCGAGCAATTTCAAGGTCACGGAGCCAAGTTCAACACGTGATTCTAACATACGATCGGTTCACAGCGGATTTTAGAGAGTAGGTGATTAATGAGAGGTTACAATAAATGGGACGGCGAGACTTTAATTTAGGGAAGAGCCAATCAGAAGCGTTTGAGCAATTTCAATTATTAGTCAATAAGAAGACAGCATAAAGTAAAAATATATTAAAAGAAAGTAATGAATTACAGTGGATATTCTTCTTTTGCATGATTTAAAAACTCGTATGTTAGCATCCTAACCCTAACCCTCACCTAACCCTAACCCTAACCTCAACCCTAAACCCTAAACCTTAACCCTCGACTAACCCTAACCCTAACCTTAACCCTAACCCTAACCTTAACCTTAACCCTAACCCTAAACCTTAACCTTACCCGTAAACCTAACCCTAACCCAATGGACGAGTTTCTATTCCATGTGCATCGTGAATTCAGAACCTCTGAACCTTAATCAAACTTTAACAAGTTTTTAAATCATGTAAAAGGAGAATATCCACTGTAATCCATTACTTTCATATAATATATTTTCACTTTATACTAACTTTCTTTTGATTGGCTAATAATTGTCAAGGTCACTTAAGATTCGTTCAAAGGTCGTCCTTAAATTAGAATCTCGCCGAAAATAGTCTACTTTGTGATTGTACATTATATCAATAAAACAAACGTCAATGTATTTTGATGAGAAACTATGGTTTGCAATAAATCTTGTGCATAACAACTAATAATGGATGATAATTTTTAAAATGAAAAAAACAAAACAATTAAACTAACTCTAAGGAATAACAATTCCTCTTCTGTGCGATGCGTACGAATTAATGGTTTTAAGGCCAACATTAGACGAAACCAAGGATCAAGCATAATACTTGCATTTTTCTGAATACATCTCACTGCTTTTTCTTCAGTCTTGAATTCGTTCAATTATTTATGTAGATTGTGAGAGTTGAAAGAAAAGAGAATCAAAAAAATTCTTTAAAACTTTATGTAAATCTTGATCTCTTTTTATACCTTTTAAAAAGATAAATTTAGTTCAATTCGTCATCCAGTGTTTTGATCTAATTCAAGGTAAATTTTATTTCATACGCTCCAAATAAAAATGACAAAGTATAAGGCACTGATTAAGCTTAAGTTTTTTCATAAGATTTCGAATGTAAACAGGAGAACAAGGTAAATTTCTTGGCTCATTTTCATGGAAGATGATACAAAAAAGGAATAAAATTACTTTACTAAAGAATTCGTAAATTGTCTTTTATTGTGAATAGTAATAGAACTGAAATGAAAGCTCTTTCAACCGCCTATCGCAAACGAATAAACACCATCTATTAGACATCAGTACAAAATATATATATAATTCGCCACTCAACCAGGGTTGATGAACCGTGTACTCCAAATGGCTAACATCAAATAAAAACCTAGATCATTATGCCTTAAAACTAATCCAAATTAGTGAATGTACTATTACTTTGTAATTATGTAACATTGTTTAGTACATCATTTAAATGTTAGAATAAAGGACTAAAACTAAAACCTAAAAAAACTGATCGAAACTTCAATATTTCCTATCTCAATCGGACAATGTACGTCTTTTGCAGTTACATTTCCTTATATCATTTACCACTTTCAAAAATTGGACAAATCAACTTAGTGATTATTTGTTTTTTAAATGCGAATATTTTAAAATCATCACTGCTATATTTATATATTACTTATTTTATAACATCATTATCGACTAAATTCATGATTACATGTCGCTTCCAATTATTTTCAGTCTGTTGGCTAGTTCTATATGCTTTTGAAGTCATGTACATGGTTAAAGGATTCCGGGGAACTAATATGATAGCTACAGGTAGCTATCCATTTACTAACAGGAAAGACTGTGTTGAAATCATAACTGGATCTACAATGTGCCGAATAACAACACTACAGTCTTCATTGAGGTCATGAACTGATCAATGTTAGATCACCATTAAAATCATGGAAGCACTAGATGGTCGTTTCGTCCTAGTATGGCGCTTCTAGGAAGCCAGCGGTGGTAATCCACAATCCCTGCACGCGGTATTCGAGCCAAGGACTGTTAAAACTTGTGGCCTTTTGCCTTAGTAATATAAAGCGTAATGATACCGCCAATTAATGGAGAATGCTGGTGAGTGGCCTATGCTCCTTCACGGGGAGTAACAGGCGTAAGTAAGTAAGTAAGTAAGTAAGTACCGCCAATTAGAGAACAGTGATTTATCGACCGATCCAATGACGCGTAAAGCCGTATGAGCAGTCTAGAGTTCTGATCGGTCCTTCTTCTGTCTAGCCCTGCCTATTAAGTCCAGAACACTAATAAAGATGTATGTATAGTATTAGTTCATAAATGGATACCAACAGTTAGCGTTCACTACTCTCGTCTGGATATATCAATGGCCTTCGGTCTCGCGCTTGAACGCTTAACCTCCAGACCACTGAGCCGCCATCCATCGGCGTTAATGTCTAACTTTAACCAATTCACGATATTGATGGTCTGTTTTAAAGTGATCAAACAAGATTTGAGATATTCACCGAATTATTCTAACTGTATAAGATAATTTCCAGTCCACTGATAATGAGTTACATGCTTTGGACTAGTCATATTCATACTTGAGCTACACTACAACTACTATATAACAAACTCAGCGTTCGTGAAAAAGCTTTTGAAATCCTGCTATTGTATTTTGTTAATTTCGTATTGAATCAGACATCTAAATGGGTTTTTTTCTTGAGAAATTAAGAAATCTTAATTCTTTGTTTGAAAACTACAACTTTTCTTAATTCCCCACTCAATTTTATCGTCAAAACTATTTCAAAGTCTGTGTATCATTAACTTAAGTAATTTTTAGCTCTAAATTAAAATATCGTGTCTGTTGTGAGGCAGTGACTCACTGAAGACAATGGTGGATGATGGCGCAATTTCGTGGATTGGTTGAAGTTAGACATTAACACCGTTGGATGACGGCTCAGTGGTCTAGATGTTAGGCGTTCGCGCACGAGACCGAAGATCCTTGGTTTGAATCCCGCGAGGGTGATCGTGGATGCGCACTGCTGAAAAGTCCCATACTAGGACGAAATGGCCATTTAGTGCTACCAGGTTCCCCAAAGTGGTCTAGCTTTAACCGACTCATGAATTCAACTATTAAAATAGCGATATTTATTATTGTTTAGAAGTATACATACCCTTTGATTAGAAGATTTACTTCGTGTAATCCATCCACGACAACGTGCTTGAAGTTGTATTAATAATTCTTTATTTTTTAAATAATCAAATGTGAAAGGATCACTTAGAGTTCCACGAGAAAATCGAAAATAGACCTGTTTAAAAAGTAATTTAAAGAAATATAAGATTGAAAGTTTCTATGATAATAAATCACAATAACAAATACTGAATTATATATTATACATAATTTTAAAAGCTTATAGCTTGTGATTTACATAATAGTAGAAAAAGACTTGGTATTATATCATACTTTCAATGGCTATTTATCACAGAATAATATTACAAGAAACGTACTACGGATCAAGAATTTAACTGATCCGACTAAACAGTATTTAATTAACTAAATTATTTTCAAAACGTCTCTTCATTAGTCACTGACTTTTGATGAAATCATGATAGTTCATTCATTTTTATTTAACCTAAAATATAATTTGCCAACCTTTACTATGAAATAAAACTCCAGGTTACTAATATTAAATAAAAAATGAATGTGAATTATTCTATGTCGTTTAAGTTGAATTTCCTTGTTTCACATTTCCATAAAATCTCAGATCAAACTTTTGCTGACATTAATTCAATGAATTATACAATAAACTTACAAGTTATGGTAAATTTTAATGAATAAAGATTTTATTATTTACCATTATTTTTTAACTGTTTCTAATAAACTTGAATTTTATGAAAACAACAGATACAAGAAGGTAAAAGTATTTATAAATGGTTGTCTACGCAAAATACTCAACATTCATTGGCCGGATACTACCAGCAACAGCCTTCTCTGGGAGAGAACAAACCAGATTCCAGATGAAGAAATTAGGAAAAGATGATGGAAATGGATAGGACATACATTACGCAAATCATCAAACTACATCACGAGGCAAGCCCTAACTTGGAATCCTGAAGGGAAGCGGAGAAGAGGAAGGTCAAAGAACACATTACTTCTTGAAATAGAAACAGACATGAAAAGAATGAATAACAACTGGAAAGAGCTAGAATGGATTGCCCTAGACAGAGTTGGATGGCGTGTGCTGGTGAGCGGCCCATGCTCCTCTACGAGAAGTCACAGGCGTAAGTAAGTGAAAGATACTCGAATTATTCAAAAAAGAATTCAGTAAATAAATTGTTCTCTTGTTTTGAAAAAATAAAAGATAAATTTTGAAGTAAGGTTGGTAAATAGATGGTAAACTTTACTTGTATTAAAGCAATATTGATTTACATAAATCAATACACTATTTCACAAACACTTTACAGATTCAATCTGAATTTGGTTTTTTAGTCTCTGTAAACAAACAGCTGTATTTATGATTGAAAAATATTATTCACATAGCATAAATATATTAAGTAACATATTTTCCAAGTTGAATAATCTTTATTAGTAATTAATTGAGTTTTAAGTTCAATGAAATTATGGTAACAAACGAGATTTATTCATGATTTATTTTATTATTTCTGAAATAATCCAATCATGATATGCACTTGGTCCATTTATTTGTAATTATTTGAAAAACCATATAATCATGTGTAAGTGAAGTGAGCAGTGTATACATGTAGCTAACCAATTGAATTACTGAATTCATATTTCCCTTTGATTTTGTTCAACAGTTTTACAATATATATGAAGCTGACCTAGGCTAATAATAATTATTTTTCAATGAAATAAGTGTTGGCTTACTATGACAGTTTAGAAACTGTTCTATTAAGGCTTCGGGTGATTGATTTCACGCAGTCTAGACTACACCTTTTTTAAACAGTATAAATTGTTGATTTCGTTCGCAGTTAAGAGGAAATCGTAATTAACTAAATTATATTTATTATCAGGAGTTTCGTGGATATTATAGTAATTTTAATAGTTGCGATCATGAGTTATTTGAAGCTAGACCACCAAGGAAGAATTTCAAAGCACTGGACAGTCGTTTCGTCCCATTATGGGGCTCGTCAGCAATGCTCAGTGGTCAAGAGTGTAAGCGTTCGCTCGCAAGACTGATATACCTTGGGTTCGAATCCCGCAAGCGGGATCGTAGATGCAGATTTCTGCGGAATCCCACAATAGGAAGGAAAGGGTCGTTCAGTGCTACCAGGTTTTCCATGGTGGTCTAACTTCAAATAAATCATAGTCTCAACTATTAAATTATAATTATTCCTTTAAATTTTGTAGAATCGTATGAATGCAAAATTATTAAAGATCAACATCAAATTACAAATCTACAGTATTCTATGCATTGATTATTATTTGCATAGTAATTAAAACTGCTTAAAATTGAACAGTTAACCAACTGTTTGCACTTTTTTATTAAAAACAAATTTAATCTTAACTGATAATTAAAAAAAAACAACAAAGAATGATTTATGCATAAAAAATCTCTTTAATGAACCAGTACAATAATAAAATCAATAGTTTTTAGTCCACACAAAACAAATAAGGAGGGTTTGAAATTCTCATTTTAAGAAAATATACTAATAATAATAGAAAAAAAAGTCGATCTAGTTCTTTATTATTCACTTATTCATGCCATCTATTCATCTTAACGTTTTTCATAAAGTACTAATCAATAAGTTGAATAGATAGATAGTCATATAATTAAGTAGTTGTCAAGCCTTATTTTATAGTAACAACATCATCGATATTAATTTCATCATATTTAAAACTTGTAATTTAATTATATTTTATATCGAAACGATAACCATCTGACTATTCATTAATTACTAGAATGGTATAATAAATATGAAAATTCGTTAATTAAATACTAAATAACTATATCTTTACAAATCCAAAGTATTCAATTTTCTATCACTGATCAAGCTGATTTAGTGTAAAAAATAAACAATTTATCATGTAAAGAAGCACACACATTGTTCTTTCCATAATATCTAGTTAAAAGCTTTCTTTTGTGGTTGAAAATTGATAACTATGTACAAATATACGTAAAAAACCTTGTAGAATAGAGTAATATCGAGAAAATTCACATAAGATGAACATGTGTTAACAAAGATTGATCAAAATTTAACAACTGAATAACTGAAATCCTTTTTAATTATAACATAAACATCCTACCCATCGAATTATTTATTAGTTAAATTCATTGGATCAACAGGTAATGTGTTGGGGTTTGAAGGTGCGAGTTATGGAGTAATAATTTTAATGTGCACATCAACATGGAAACTCAGATATGTCGAGCTGACTAACCCTAAGCAAGACAAAACACAAACTATTGATTCCAATAACAGCCACAATCCATTTGTTGTAAGTAATTTATAGTACACATATACTTTCAAACTTTTGTATGGAGTGACGGTTAGTCTATTTATTAGTTCAGATTTGAATTTCTGTTGCCAATCTGCCGTATATGTTTCGCATTGTTTTTGGTCTACTTTTGTTTACTCTTTCTTTTTTTTACAGTTTAAATAACGTTGTGTAGATATGAAATATGTCATAATGAAACGTGTTGACTTATTGTTAGTTTGTTTTGTCCGTACCATGAAATGATGATCTAATGAATGTGACTTCAGTAAACATTCAGTAGCAATTAGCCTATTTATGACTTCAGCATATGGATTTCACTAGTTTACTGCTTCAAATAATGAATGAAAGTAACAATTTTTCGTAGTCTGTCAAGAATGAAATTTAGCAGTGAACGTTTAATGAGAAAACTCATTATTCTTAGAAATAAGCAAAACGAGTGTTAACCCTCTTTAAATCATTCATTTTTTATTAGATGATGATTTTAAAGCTTCACAATTCGTTTCAAAATAACTTCAATAATCTGATTAGTGATGTTGCTTAGTTTTTTAAGGAGTTATTTAAATGAATTACTACTGAGGTGTACGAAAACTATTAATTAGGATTATTTCTTATCAAGTATTTTATATAAAAGTTAACACTGTCATTTTAAGCTTCTTTGCTCGTCTATTCTCTCTTTTGAAAAATATTCACTTGGGCCTTCGAGTTATCAATCTAATATCCATAAGTGGTCATCTCTATCAAAATAAATATCAGTGATCGATCATTCGTCAACACTACCACAAAACGTTCTCCCGTTTCGGCATGATTTTTAAAATATCAGTTGTTTACTATCAGCTTGAATCAGATATTAGTATGTTTTAATATAGTATCGGTGGATAGGATATACAATGAGGAAATCATCAAACTGCATGACGAGGCAAGCGTTAATTTGGAATCCTAAAGGAAAACGAAAAAGAGGCAGACCAAACAATACAATGATTCAAGAATTGGAAGCAGACATCAAAAGGATGAATAGCAACTGGAAACAACTGGAAAGGACTTCTCAGAACAGAGTTCGTTGGAGGATGCTAGTGGGAGCCCTATTCCTCTTCACAATGGGTAACAGGCGTGTGTAAATAAGTTTATTATAGTGTCGTTTTATCTATTCAGTTAATACTATGTGTAAAAGTACAATATACATCTATGTATTATACTTTTGATTTATTTAAAAAATTCATAGCACTTTCTCAAAAATGATTAAACACATTCTCATTCTTGAGCTTAAAGTACAGTATTTAGCCCTATGGTATATAATCTTACTCATATTTTCTGGATTGGATCGAAAAATTTAAGTGGATGTGATAATATCTTATCACCAGTCCAATAGTACTGCTGTTCATTATGGCAGATGAAGCCAATTTACTGAAGACAAAGTAGTCGTTGGGTTATGTTATATAATGTAATTATAAATATTTGTATTTATACGTTCAAATAAAAAATCCCCCTGATGACAACAGAAGATGTTTCTAATAAAATGTTAGTTTCTCTGATATCATATATCTACATTATCGACGACTAACAAAAATTATCAAACATAAAATTATACTTGATTTGAAATCAAATTTAATTCAGTTTGAAATGATCTGAATTATGCCGTTGTTGATATATTGACTGAAATTTGATCAGTCTTCGTTTGAATATGAATATTTTGTGAGGATTGGCTCGATATGGACATTACGATAAAATTAAATATAGAATGAATGGAATGTGTCGTCATGGCTAATATCAAGTCTATTCTCACGGGGTCCACGTATGCAAACGAAGACTGATCGAATTGCAGTCATAATATCAACAACGGCATAGTCCAGACGATTT